AGACAGATATATCGTACTATACGAAGTATTATGAACGGAAGCTAAGTTATGTACCTAGCAATCCCGTAATGGTGTTGTTCGCAGACAATCGAAGAGATTCAGACCAGATAAAGTACTGTATATCGATCTAGTAAAAAGGCAAACTTCAACAATCTGGTACGCATGCTATGTTTTCGACTGTTCAGATTTGGACTATAGCTTGGTCCTCTGGGCATAGCAATGCCAGGCAAAACAGTTAAGTAGATCGACCGCCAATTCATGTTGAACATGTGGTATGTCTCCAGGAAAACGAACAACGGACAAATATTGACAGATAGATTATGGCGTATTAAATACAAATTGCTCTCCGGAACGACTACCCAAGCGATTCTGTGTGTCTAAGTAGCATGCTATTAGCTGGTAATTGGCGAGAATTAAGCGTCTAGAACCCTAATATATTTATAGGGTAAAAGATTGCTACCAGGAAATGTGAAGGTTAGCTTTCGTCTTATTAGACCTTCTTATCATATAATGGTAATATAAGCTACTGAACAAAACATAGGTCTTCCCCTTCTGTCTGCTATCTTAGTCAGCCTTACTTAACTGATGAGTATATACCTACGAAATATGGGCTATTAAATACACTGCACAATTAATTTCTGTTATAAACAGAAGTTGCAAGAGCATAAATAGACAAAGAGAACTCACGAAAATAAGTATATAAATCAATAACATAATATCACCACGTTTGTTCAAAGTTAAACAACAAATGTCCAGAGTCAAGGATATACACTACAATTGTACCTGACGGGGACATAACAATATTTTGCCTAAAGAGTTTCACACAAATAAAACTTGTCGCTATGAATCCTGGAAGACTCGAGACGAGAGTTCTTTTCCTGAAGGTGAAGTATGTCAACCTGGTTCAAAATACAAACCGCTTCCTTCCGACTCCGCCAGGGAGACTTTTTCTTTAGCTCAGTCTGTAGAGCGTTAGACTAGTAAACCAGAAGTGCCGCACTCGACCCCTTCCGGAGGCATTGTAGAAATAATGACCTCTGTTACATGTATAACGTCACCGTTTGAACTTCCCGGAAATTAGACTTAACTCTGACCGAATTTGTTCAAAATAGAAAGAAATGTTTAAACGATGACATTTTGTTCTCTTTTGTTCAAGTATTATACTAATAAAGGCTTTATTTATTCTTGATAACATATTGAGCATGGATCTCATCTTACATATGGTCAAGATACAATGTCTGATAAAATGTACAATATTTAGAGCTTTAAGAAGTATTCATGCATAAAATACAGGATAAGGGATGAAATCATAAATCATTTCAAGTCAAATTGCTTTGCATATCTCTTAAATTCTAAAAATGAAGGACAATTTATAATATGACTTGGTATAAGATTCCATGTAAGGGGTCCCTGATATCTAAAAGATTTTCTAAAAATGTTTGTCTTATGACATGGCAAGAAAAACACATTGGTAGATGATGATCTTGTAGCTCTACTCTGAACATCAGACATATACGTACAATTATTCAAATTTTGTGGAGCTAAATTATTAAGTACAAATGTATCTTGTACATAAAAACCACTTGATTTTATAAAATTCTTTTGTGAAAAGGTAACCAGTTTAGTTTTTGAACATATAACAGGAAGGTGTAGAAAAATCGCATTTTAAAATAGTTCTGGCTGCTCTCTTTTGCAGGCGTTCTAATTTTACAATATAATTTTTTGAACTGTTACCCCAAACAGTTGAGCAATAATTCAAATGTGGGTTAACAAAGCAGTTAAAAAAAGTCATACAAGATGACTGGCTCAAGAAGAATCTCAACTTTTTCATCTGAAAAATTTGACATGATATCTTTTTACAGACATTTGTAAATTGAATGTTCCAAGTGAGACAATGATCTATGGACACTCCCAAAAGTTTTTCACATTTTACATTTTCAATGTTTATATTGTTGATAACAACGGACAATTCCCCTGTTAATTTACATTTTTTTCTGTGAAGTAGTAACAAGCATGACTTTTGTTTTTTCTGTGTTTACACACATTTTGTTTTCATCGCACCATTTTGACACCAATTTAGCATCAGCATTGAGGTTGGTATTCACAGTGTCAAGTGATTTCCCTTCTGATTGCGCTGCGGTGTCATCAGCGTACATATACAAAAAACTTTGATTTGTTATCAGGGGCTGGTCCTTTACACATAAATGAACAAAAGTAGCCCTTTGAGGGACACCGACTGTAAGAGGGAGATAATCACTCAAAGTGTTCTTAAAGTTTAAAATTTGAAATCTCTTACTCAAATAACTTTTAAAAAGGTCAGTGTTTTGGAAGAACACCCATACAATTCAAATTTAGACATTGAAATAGAGTGGTTCACAAGGTCGAATACCTTTCGAAAATCAAGAAATAGAACACCTGTCAAAATACCTTTGTTTATAGCCTCATACCAGGTGTTTGTGATATTGGTTAGCGCAGTCTGACATGAGTGTTTTGCTCTGAAGCCAGATTGGCTATTTGTAATCAAGTTGTGGTCAGCCAAAATTTTATAAAAATGGTCACGAATACGTTTTTCTAGACTTTTGATAAAACAGGAAGTACTGATATTGGCCTGTAGTTACACAAAAAAAAAACTTTTTAAAAAGAGGATTTACTTTCGCATACTTCCAAACTTCCGGGAAACTGTTTGTGTCAATACTAAAATTCATTAGTTTACAAACAGTTGGAGCAATGGATTTAGCACAGTACTTCAAAAATTTTGAGCTTATGTTGTCGAGCCCGGTGTCTTTGCTGACATATAATTTCAATAAAAAGGTTTCAATAAAAGTTGTGTCAACTTGGGGACTATTAAAAATGTTAACCCTCAGCTTTTCTTTTGTATACGCTTTAAGTCTTTTTAACGTATCTGAAGAGTCGTTATAACATGTTTCTTTTACATATTTATCTGCTATAGTAGTGAAATACTCATTAAAACAATTTCCTATTTCAGCTTCATAAGTAATATCATTATCATTTGGATCTCTTATAAAACTCAGTAAACTGGAAGATACCTTTGGACACAGTTTTTGTAATTCTTCCAGTAATTATTGGAATTTTACACTGATCTAGAACAGAAGTGAAGAAAGTTGATTTTGCAGATTTTATCATCGCTGTTACTTTGTTTCTTCATTTGCAATATAGGTCTATTCGTCCCTGACATTTGTGTTTGTATCATCAGTCCACCAGACAGGGATTATAGATTTCGTTTCGTTATATTGTGAGTGAAGGATCTGTAAATTGTAGTAACTAATGGCACCTGAAGTCCGTGCTTTACCTGTACAGGTCTTTAAATACCTGGGTTCAACTGGGGGTTTTCATCGAGGTATTTGTTACACACAGAGACGGATGTTCCACGTTGGCTCCGTCAATTATTTTTTTTTAAATTTGTTTAATTGGGTGTGTATGTGATTTATTGATATTATTATTGGTTTTTTTTTTTTTTTTTTTTTTGTTTTTGTTTTTTATGTAAGTGCAAATTCAACATAGGGAGTATATGCAGACCGTGGTTGTCGAATGTTGGTATGGTTTATATAACAGTTTTGAGAATAAAGTAAGACAAGTGTTGAGTGTATGGTTGAGATGAACAGTTGAAGTGAAATATGTATAGGATAGTATAGGTCTGAATTGTTAATAGTTGATGCTAATAATCGTTTTTGTTTGTAGTAGTGTTGTTAATTAAACATGTGCTAATTTGTGAGGGGATCAGCCTACGGAGGAATGCGCAGGGACTTGAACATCGTGGACTTGGTGATATGCGTATTCCGATGTGGTTTTGGTTGTTTTTGTATTCAGGAACGAGAGAAGAGGATGATTCAATATGTAGTCGTTGTTCAATGTTCAATTCACAGTTTCGTGACATAACGATATACATGAAATTACTTGTAACAAACGACGATATACATGAAATTACTTGTAACAAACGATACCTGATTAGCAAATTATAGCGTATAAAAAAATTATAGTCTTTTTGTTGTTTGTTCACTTACGATTTATGGATATGAAATAGTTTATATTCGTATGAGGGACGAAGGAGAATATAAGTTTTGATAACGCACCCTTTTTTCTATAATTGGGGCGTGTTTGTCAACTATATCCAGGAACAAGGTTTGGAAAGTTTGTAGCATGTTATCTATATTGTCAAACACATCCAAATATGACCATGAAGAGAGACTACGGACTACTCCACAATACATGAGATAGATATAGACCTTGATGTATACACCTCATAAATCTTAACAGAACGCATGTCAAGGCTTTACAAGGGGGAGGCGGAGAATGATGGCAAAACATTGTCCAATTGTGACGTTTAAAAAGGTATTTACTTTTGATTTTAGGTACGTTTCCTGACCAATAGAGTATATTTCCAGAATTGGATGTTTCCGTGCGTTTTTCATAGCACGATTCTCTCTATATGAATGGTACTCTGATGTGATGTACCATACTGTACAAACCTACATTTTTGAAACTGTGAATCTCAATTCTGATAAGGGATTTAAAAAAATCACCGTATTATTGTTACACGTATCATGTCCAGACACCAATGTGTTGTACATGTACCCAATGTTCCAACATACTTTCTGTTTGTTACGAACGGCTGACATTGTTTTGTTGCAAATTATTTTTTTGTTTTTCCGTACTGATATATGTGTTCACATCAACTATTCATAAGGACGTTTTAAATGACAACTAGTTTGCATCGAACCAAACCACGAAACAAAAACTTAACGACATATCGTCAATCAAAACACTATCATTACTAGGTGAATTGTCCTACTGTCGTGCCCAAGCTCTGACAATCAGGTTTGAAACATATACTGGTCGATCGGTACATATAGCACCAACATATACGTATGTGAACACTATCTGCAAGTGGTTTTAATTGTTACGAGAACTAACGAACCTTAATAATCAAGCTGCGTATGTGACGTTCTAATTCAGGTCATGTGTCCCACGACCAACATCACCTTGTGCATCTTTGTCTGTTTTGTTCTGTTTCGCACCTCCTTTAGTAGAAGAACCACTTCCGCCAGGTGACATGCTGTACCAATGTGCACGTTCGTTCCTTTTGTTATGGGTCCGTGTTTCTGACGACTCGTCCATAGTGCTATACCACATGAATACGTCATAACAGTAACTGTTATATAATATTTGCAACTCTAACTGGTGAGGTTGAAGAACGAGAGTAAGAGGTCCTGCTGAAGAACGAGAGTAAGAGGTCCTGCTGAAGAACGAGAGTAAGAGGTCCTGCTGAAGAACGAGAGTAAGAGGTCCTGCTGAAGAACGAGAGTAAGAGGTCCTGCTGAAGAACGAGAGTAAGAGGTCCTGCTGAAGAACGCTATCACAACCACAGCCTTTTGCGTTTTTGTGACAGCCAGGTTGACCTGTTACATCGCCTAATACTTTTAATATCTTTCGAGTCTAAGTGAGTTAGAGCGTTAGATAGTCCACTAGATTAGATTTTTTTCTATTGATGTGGTATGCCAGGCATAAATTTAAACATGGAAGCATCCGTGACGTCAACGACTGTGCATCATCGATCCGAATAACAATCTGGTCTAACTTGGTTATTATTTTTGCAACTATTATGACATGTCATTAGTTGAAACTTTATTAGACCTGACGTCAATCCTTCCTTCTAGGAATTGATAAATGCAACCATGACTTGTACATTATAATTATTAAAAAATATATTCATCGTACATAGTTGTAAGTTAATCCAGGTGGGGTCAGGTCGAGATTAGAATAAGCACAGATCTTATTTCTGATCATTGGTATTATCAAATGTAGAGAAGCTGTGTATCAAAGTCTCATTGTGTAAAGCAAGCTGAATGTTAAGTAAGCGCTCTCCAGGTGACGCTTGATGACATTCGAATACTGCAATTTCAGACTGTAATATGATTAATACGCATATAGGTTGCCTGAACTCGATGAACTATATTTACTTAAAGATATGTATCTATAGATATGATTATTATGTAAATTTACCGCGATACGAGTATCACGACGCCATATTCCCTACAGAACGATATATTTGTTACGTGTATGTAAGATCCGACATAAACTTCCCAAGGGAGACCACGTGACGAGAAGGTCCACTGGGGCGCCATCTACCGCTACGTTAGACGCGATATAATGTAGCCATTATGTAACAGCTTCACCTCCATATTGGTGTTTAAACTGTCGTCCTTGTTCAACATTAACTTCGTCTGTGAGCGGCTATATTGATTTTGCCTCTCCCTAAATTGGTTCCGAAGTAAGGAACCACGGATAAGGATACTCCCTGGCTGCCTGCCCGTCATCAGCCCCGATCGTTCTCGTATCCTCCATCACAGGGTAGCAGCTTCCCAGTCTTACCGGCAAACAATGCATTCAATACCAAGCAATTGTATGAATTCAGTCGCTGATAAATTGCACTGTGGTGAAAGGTTTCACACCAAATATTGTATTGTCTTTGAAGTATCGATCGCTTTTAAGTGTAAAAGACTACAGCTTCAAGAATTCGAAATAGCTTTCGCACTTTATTTGAAAATTTAACAATCGCGCAATTTGATTTATAGATGAGAGAAGTCGACTTGGGTTACGACTCCATGTCTAAATGGATGCTGGTATGATTTAGGGAATGATGCCTGTAATCCGCTGGGATTTTCACTGACACAATTATAACTTAAACATGTTGCACGATATAGCACGGGCATTTTGCTAAATTACTTAAACTTACTATAAACCATATCTGTAATCGCCCCTTCCCTCTCATTATTAACGGTTTGATAATGAATGTCCGTTTATAATGTACCGTGCTGACGGACAGGTCAGTACATATTTACAAGACAATGTTATTGCTGTATTCATAAGTCGAGAAAACGTAAGTTTATATCACTATTTAGAAAAGTGTCCCGACACCTATATAGTGACTTTTTAAGAGGCCCGATTGCCCAAAGACCAAGTATTCGAAAGGTCGGACTATCCAAAGTCAAGTATTCTGAAAGAATGAATATTCAAGTTTTTTAAAGGGTCAGATTGTTCGAACGTCTACTAGTCCGAAGACCCGAATGTACGAAGAACTGATAGTGTTAATGTGTTGTAAAAGCCAAATTTCTACATGGTTGAAACAATAGAGACTTCGGACTTCTTGGTCTCCATGCAGAATGAACATCTGACAGAAAGTGAGTGTATTTTTGTTGAATGTTCAGACTATCAAGATATAGTACAATGTAAACGTTTTGTCTTGATTAGGGAAAATGTCAAATCAAACGTGTTCACTTGACAAACTCTTCCGTCGCTGGTACGGGAGAGAGATATGACAAAGCTCTTATTGCGCTGGTACGAGAGAGATATGGCAAAGCTCTTATTGCGCTGGAACGAGAGAGATATGGCAAAGCTCTTAGTGCGCTGGTACGGGAGAGAGATATGACAAAGCTCCTATTGTGCTGGTACGGGAGAGAGATATGACAAAGCTCTAATTGCGCTGGTACGAGAGAGATATGGCAAAGGTCTTATTGCGCTGGTACGAGAGAGATAGGGCAAAGCTCTTATTGCGCTGGTACGAGAGAGATATGGCAAAGCTCTTATTGTGCTGGTACGGGAGAGAGATATGACAAAGCTCTTATTGTGCTGGTACGTGAGAGAGATATGACAAAGCTCTTATTGTGCTGGTACGGGATAGAGATATGACAAAGCTCTTATTGTGCGGGTACGGGAGAGAGATATGGCAAAGCTCTTATTGCGCTGGTACGAGAGAGATATGACAAAGCTCTAATTGCGCTGGTACGAGAAAGATATGACAAAGCTCTAATTGCGCTTGTACGAGAGAGATATGGCAAAGCTCTTAGTGCGCTGGTACGGGAGAGAGATATGACAAAGCTCTTATTGTGCTGGTACGGGAGAGAGATATGGCAAAGCTCTTATTGCGCTTGTATGGGAGAGAGATATGGCAAAGCTCTTATTGCGCTTGTATGGGAGAGAGATATGGCAAAGCTCTTATTGTGCTGGTACGGGATAGAGATATGACAAAGCTCTTATTGTGCTGGTACGTGAGAGAGATATGACAAAGCTCTTATTGTGCTGGTACGGGATAGAGATATGACAAAGCTCTTATTGTGCGGGTACGGGAGAGAGATATGGCAAAGCTCTTATTGCGCTGGTACGAGAGAGATATGATAATGTTGTTCTTTGTTGACATCAACGGAATATGTCTAAACTCTGAATTCGCTAACAGGATGTCAATTGTGACCATCATCTTTCCTTTTTCTGCTAGCACGACTGGGACATTGTCATATTTTACCAGTGGGTCCAAGATATTTCTTTCACTGATAAAAACGGCGATTGCAAATACCAAACTTTCTCTATCACATCGAAGGGACTACGGTCAAACTCCTCATTAAATTAAGGAAAGATGATACAGCCTTTCTTCGTTGAAATGACTCGGGCTCGTTCAATATTTCCCTTCGTCAGTACGATTGGATGATGTTCAAGCTGTAAATAAATACTTCAAAATTTTACCCTGTCACGTAATGAGCAAATCTCTCTGATTTGTGTTCAAACTACGTGCCCTGGTTTACAAAAGATGTGTTCAACACATTCTTATAGACAGGAGCTCATTTACGTGTTTTTTGTAGATCAAAAGTATTTATGTTCATTTGTAGATTTGGGAAAAGAAATCTAACTCAAAGTAATTTCTACTGTGTTCAATCAAGCGTAAGCTTCAGACCCCTCTCTCTCCCGAGAATTTCGGTTCGATCCCCAGCGGTGGCAGACAAGAGAGTGATGTCTGATAGGGTTAGTTGTTATCCCTCCGATGGTACGGTGGTTTTCCCCCATTGGGTTTTCCTCCACCACGAAAACAATATTTGTTCCCTTAGCGGCGTCGTAATAAAAGCTCTACAGAGCTTATATTTGTTATTGAAATGTACACGACGTTAAATAAGATGTATTTATTGATTTGGCGTATACCGTCCATGTCCCCCATGCCTACATATTTATACATCTTCCTGATTGTAGATTTAAGCTCTTTACTTAGACGGTTGGATTACTTTAAAGTAATAGTATGAGGCGTATAATTGCACTAATGATGCCACAGATATATGACGACGTGTACTGAGCGAGTTAGCCATTCCAGAGTTGACAGGATGACGAGGAATTTGAATAAGTTATCGAATGATCTGATGGCTGTGATGGCGTGGAGAAGATTACCACGTAGAAAGGATAATTGCATTAGCAGGTATCACTTTTCTCATCACCGCAAAACGCTGGGAACTTGAACTGCCTTCCTTGTGTTGGCGCATCTAAATGTTATTAAATCACGACGTTTGCTGCCAATCGTTTGACAAAGCATCGCCATTATTTAATAACCTTCTGACATTGACGTATCTCTCCACTCCAAGTTAAAGTTCGTTTAGTCTGTGAATGGAAACGGTAGATACCACAGGAGAAATATACACTGTAGCACGGACAAGACAGAGTAGTTCAGTTTTGGCGGGAAATATCGATGGACCGACTAAATAATAATAAAATAAATATCTTCCTTTCTCCGAGATTCCGCTCACTAATTGTGGAACAAATCAGCAAAACAATATTTTGATGAAAGTCAGTGAATATATTTAAAAAGGGGATATCTTCACCAGTATAAATATATATATTTGATGTGACGTCACAATCAAATTTATCAAATTAATGCAATTTATTGAAATCACGACAGAACGATAATTTTGAAAGGTCACTGGAAAATCGCTCGATGTTTTGAGTACAAAATATACAAAAGCTAGATTGATTAGATGAAAATAGTATTTTTCTGATGTTTCGTTCTCGTGAAAATATAAGGAAATTCTACCATGCTTGGGAGATAAATGTATATACTAAATTAAAAAATAAATAAAGTCGTTTTACATGAGATCGAGTATCAGTCGAACAATGTCAAATATGACCGTTGATGAAACTGTTCGTTGAAAACAATTTGTTGTTTTTTCCTGAAAAATTACGATTTAATGTGGTTTTTGCGCACAGGCACTTTTTGTATGTTTCTAATTGATAATGATTAAAGTTATTTCATCTCATCGTCTTGTTAAGTATTCGGCGCTTCTTACAAATTAACAAGTTACATATGT